CAATGCCAATAAATGCCCGGAAAATACATCCGGGGGGCAGAGCCAGGAGCCTCCTGCCAAAGTGGGCAGCATCCTTTCACGGGCTGTTAAGAGTCCAAATGCACCAAGCGTGGGTGGGTTTGGGAGGGCCAGCCCTGTGCCAAGGGCGGGAGAGCCACGGACCAAAGCCCTGCCAGGCCACCATGCAGAGATGGGACACTTCTACCCCGGTGTTTTGGGCCTGGTGAAGCTGCTCGTGGTCCCAGGAGACACCAGGGTTTCTGTGGGGTTTAGTTTTTCAGTGGTTTTTTTAGCTTTGCTGTCCCCACGTGGCATTTCCCCCCGATACCCATCAGCATGGTGAGGGTCAGCAGCCCTATACCTGCTTTTGGGCAGACAGAAACCCCCTGGTCGGGGCTGTGGGGCTTGGACAGTGCATCTGAAAGCCAGGGAATAGCAAACAGCTCAAGTCCTTGTGCCCTTTGGCATCAGCTGCCGATTGCCAGCAGAGATTGGGAATTTTTAAGCCCCTGGTAGCCAAGAGGTCAGGATACCACAGCAGCAAGTGATGTCTCCTCCCGAAAAGATGTAGAGCAAACCCCTTGACAGAAGTGTTGTGCCCTGGGTGCGGAGGGGTGACTGATGCAGGCGTCTCTGCACCATGCCCAGGCTTTCAGCATTAAGAAATACCCATGGGGTATCACAGTGCGCACTTCTTGCCCAGAAAGCTGCAATCAGAACAAGCACTGCTGGTTTTTTTGGTGTTTTTTTTTTTTTTTTAACCTATCAGCACATTTCCTAGAAACACGGCAGAGGAGATGTTCTTGACTTACTTAATTGTATTTCTTCAAGTTTTCTTGGAAAACCAGAAGGTCACTGTAATTATTAGCCCTCACCCATGCACATCCTGAATTTGACGGATGCAAATGTGATGCTGGAAGGGAGCGAAAGCTCAGGCCGGTCACCTTCTGCCTAACAGAGACTAAATCGCTTTTGCAGGAGCAGTGGGATAGAGCCCTCTGTTTGCCCAGGACCCGGATGTGGTGGTGATCGTGGTTGGTGCCCAGAGCCTTGGGCACCAGCTGGAGCAAGAAGCTGAAATGGCAACACATCTACACACATATCGATGTGCTGGAGAGGTGAGGGAATTTTTCACCAGCACCAAGTGTGTGAATTAGATGTGGTCTCTGACCTCAACAGAGAAGGATGAAAACCAGCTATTAATTATTTTGGAAAATAAATGCCAAGAGCACGATGTAACACGGTGGTGAGTGGTGGAACTGGTGTGGTTTTGCTGCTACAGTGCAACAGGGTCCAGGCCCTGGTCATAACTGCCTTATGCTGCCAGGGTGTGAGAGCGTGCTCCACGTCTGGGTGCTGGTGCAGAGGAAGGGTGTTAGAATCACAGAATGGTTTGGGTTGGAAGGGACCTTAAAGCCCATCCAGTTCCAACCCCCCTGCCATGGGCAGGGACACCCTCCACTAGACCAGGTTGCTCAAAGCCTCATCCAGCCTGGCCTTGAGCACTTCCAGGGATGGGGCATCCACAGCTTCTCTGGGCAACCTGTGCCAGTGCCTCACCACCCTCTCCAGGAAGAACTTCTTCCTTGCACAGTAATACTTGTCTTGCACACAAAAAAAAGCAAGTTATCCTTTCTTTCTAGTTCTGTCGCCAAACTGAATAATGCCTTGCCACCCCATGCAGCCTCTATGGGTGAGACACCTTCCTCTGATGTCCCCTGAGGAGACGTGGCTGCGGCTCCCCCGGCTTCAGGAGCTGGGCAGGGCCAGGCTGAGCGGTCGCTGCCCATCCCGGCCC